TTGACTTTTTTTTTTCTTACTACTTCTTCCAGTAAGGCAAGAGTGAACAACAATAGTTTTCAGAGGTTGACAAACTCACATATAAAAATACATTAAACAGTTGGTGCTAACACTTATTAAGACTGTAAACATTGGCATCATTCAGAATCTCTTTAAGGTTTAGTGTTCTAATTCATAGAGTAAGTCTCAGAATAACTCTTCATGAAATGGTATGAAGATGAAAAGATATAATATATTTAGGGCTTTCCTAAAAAAGACACTGACTTTAGAGGCCAAAAAGAAATACTAGGTAGATTTGACATTATAAGAGGTAAAAATCTCATTTAAAAAATAAAAGGAAGAATGTTTGGATATAATATTAAAAAATATAAAAGCGACATATTATCTAAGATATAAAAATAATTCCTACTGATAGAAATTAAAATAACCTAATTGAAAAAAAATCAAAAATTAAGAATAAACATATGACCAAGGTCAAATGACAGAATGCCACTGTATAGAGCAATGTTGACTTGAACGCTCTAAGGATCCAGAAAATGCTTGTAGAAGGATTATATTTGGATGGTTACAATGAAAAATACTGGCAGTTCCCAACTGGTAGAAGATGCAAAATGCACCTTTTCACCCACTGTTGAAGTGTAACCGCTTACACCACACGGAGGGCAAGTTGTCAGTTTCTCCAAAAATTCTAAATGCACCTTTTTTTGGACACACCAATTGCAGTTTTAGAAATCTTATTAAAATTTCCACATATATACAAAATTGAATCTACAAAGATGTGTAAGACAATTTTCTTTATGGCAGCAAAGAAATTGAAACAAGTATTCATTAATAGGAAAGTAATTACTTTAATGATGGAATGTTTCAAAGTGCTAAGTAGGCATCGAAAAGCATGATGTGGACCTCTGTGCTGTTTTCAACTCGACAAATATTTCCAGAACACGATTAAACGAAAATAAGGCGATTGTTCTCATAAAGGGAAACGCCCTCGCAGCCAAGGCTGCAAAGCTGCAGCCAGAGAACAGCCGGCCTTACAAGCTGCAGCTCTGCTACCTGAGGACCAGCCTCTCCCAACAGCACCATCCTATGCACCTGAAGAGGTTCAATGGGCTGAACACAGGGGGCTAGAAAAGAATCTTTGCGGTGGCTGACAAAAGATAACAAGCTCCGCATTCCTGGGGACAAACAATGGACAATAATTAAGCATCTCCACGAGTCCACCCACCTAGGGCAGGACTCCATGCTCAGACTAATTTCTCAAGGGTTCCTAGGCAAGGGGCTGTCCCAACCTGTTAAGGAGGTCACAGGGCCTGTGGACTTTGTGCCCGCAATGACCCAGGGAGTCACCCTATACCTCCACCCCTACTCCGCCCCACACAACATCGGGGAACTTCTCCAGGGGAAGACTGGCAAATGGACTTTACCCAGATGCCCCCTTGTAGGGATGGAAATGCCTGCTGGAATTCACAGACACCCTTACAGGATGGGGAGAAGCTTTCCCCACCAGAACGGAAAAAAGCAACAGAAGTGTCAACATTTCTGCTCAAAGAAATAGTCCCGAGCTTTGGGCCAACAAAAAGCTTATAGAGTGACAATGGTCCCTCCTTCACTGCCAAGGTGACTCAACAGGCTTCCTCAGCTCTGGGTATTAACTGTCACCTCCACTCTTCCTGGAGGCCCCAATCCTCAGGCAAGGTGGAAAAAGCAAATCGTGTTCTGAAAAGAACACTTGCTAAGCTAAGCCAGGAGACTTCAGAAACCTGGGTCTCCCTCCTGCCTGTGGCCCTTCTAAGAA